CTGCTGGCCGCGGCACACGGGGACCCTCGCCTGCTGAAGGAGCTGCTGGGGGAAGCGTTAGCCCAGGATTTATTGGTATTATTGTCATCATTATTATTTTTATTATTATTCTGGTGGAATTTCCAGACGCAGGGAGCTCCGGAGCACCGGCAATAACTGAAGCCGCCTTGGGTTTCCTATTTACGTATTTATTTTATTCTGGTGGAGCGCTTCCAGATTTCAGCAGGCAGCCGTGGCCTGGGGGCAGAGGGGGTGAGGAGGCCGCGCCGGTTGGGCATTCTTCTGACATGCCGTCACTCTCCCCCCTCTTTCCCACCCTTCCCTTCCCCACACAAAGTGGGGTGCCAGGGTGGGGGACCCCAGTGCCTGCAGCCCCCTGGCCCCAAGCCCACCTTCATGGCAGGGCAGGGGCTCCCAAGCCCCTTGCAGAGTGGCTGCTGGCTCTGGTGCTACGGGGAATTGGTGCCATGCAGTGGCATCTCGCTGGGCAGCTGGTGTGGACCCCCCCTTGCAGCCCAGCAGCCCCCGTGGGTGGGGTTTGGGGGGTATCATCCCTGTGACATCCTGAGTGGGGGTGGAAATAACCCTGTCCAAGCATCCTGGGCAGGGACCGGAGGGGAAAAGCAGCAGGAGGAGTAATGGGGAGCGAGGATTTCTCCCTCCACATGAAGGATGCTTTATGCCTGTTATGAGCCGGCTCCAAACCAGCGCAGCCCGGCTCGGGGGACCCCACATCGGGTGAGCTGGGCAGCCGAGACCCTCGTTCTGGTCCTGAGTGCCTCCTCTCTGCTGCTGGTGGCAGGGTAAACCCTGGACCCTCCTGGTCTGGGTAAAGCCCAAAGCCTCTGATGGTCCAGTAAAACTCTGGACCCCCCGCAGTCAGGGTGGCAGCAGCAGGCACAGTCACTGCCTACAGCTGTGTGGCACTGGTTGGGACCATGCAGGGTCCAGCCCTCCATCGGACACCGTTCTTGGGGGAAATCCCCCCCTGCATTTCCCACCGGTAGCTGGGGAAGGGGGGCTGGTGAGTGTGGGTCACCCCATCGCCGCCTCTGACCCCAGCCACGTAGGCCCTGAGGATGGGAGGGGACCCTGGGCTGCCCCAAAGGGCCCCTCTAGCCCAGCCATGCCCCCATAAGCCTTGCAGAGGCTTTGCACCCACTCCATCGCACCCACCCCCCAGTCTGGAAAGGAGGCTTTGGGGGTGCAGTGTGGGGCTAAACCCAGCTCAAAACCAGCCCTGGGAGGTGTCAAGCCCAGAGACCCAAGGGCTGAAACCCCTCCCTGGCCATCAGCACACTGAGGCCCCGGAGCATCCTTGCCATGGTCCTGCCGTGGCCATGCCATGAACCACAGCCTCTGGGGAGGTGACTCCCCATCCCCACATTTCTTGGGCAAAACCATCCATTTTCCAAACAGGGATGTTGCTGGCGTGGTCGGCCAGGGTGTTCGAGTGCCCGGATAAAATAACAGCATCGGGATCTGCCCCCTTCCTCCCCATCGCCTTGGCGGGGCGGACTAGGAAGAATGCGAGTTGGCTATCCATCAGGGAGACAGAGCAACAGCCAGCCGAAGAAAGAGGGGCATTTTAGGAGGAAAGCCAGGGAAATTTGATCATTAAGAAATCCTCCTGGCTGTCTGGGGGAATTTAATTAAATTGCTGGAAAGGGCTGTAAGCACATCTGGATCCAATATGTGCAGCTTTGATTTTTTTCTTTCTTTCTTTCTTTCTTTTTTTTTTTTTTTTTTTTTTTAGTACACTCTTTTCCCATCTCGCTGTTGAAGGAGGGGGGGGAATAAAAGGGAAATAGCAGAGCCACGGAGTATTGGTTCATCTGGGACTGGGATTCCTGGCAGGGAAAGAAAGAGAGGGAGAGAAAGAAAGAGCAAAAGAAAGAGGCAGAAACAGAGGGAATAAGAAAGCTGGGAGAAAAACCTTCACCAAGGGCCAGGCTGGGGTGTTTTATAACGCCACCGACCGCAGAGACAAGGAGCTAGGAGGGAACAGGGCAGGGGGGGGAGTTGTGAAAGCTGGAGGGGAGAGGAGGAGGAGAGGAGCTAGCCCAGGGCATGCTGCACTTTTGGGGTCTGGCAGGGATGGAGGGAAAAAGAGGAAGAGCTCAG